TTCTAGCACATGCAGCTGGGAATCAGATCCCCAATTCACAGCTGGACATTCTGGGTGCCACTGCAAATGGTACTGGCATGGTGGACAGGCAGCAGGGCCAGGCAAAGTCATAGGGGGCACCAGCAGGCATTGGGGGAGTCCCTGTTCCCCCAAGCGCTACCAGGAGTAACTAGAAATAACGGTCACAAGCTGGCAGAGGGTAGATTCAGATTAGATATCAGGAGACACTACTTCACTGTCAGGGGAGCTAGGATCTGGAACCAACTTCCAAGAGAAGTGGTGCAGGCTCCTACCCTTGGGGTCTTTAAAAGGAGGCTAGATGAACACCTTGCTGGGGTCGTTTGACCCCAATACTGTTTCCTGCCATGGCAGGGGGTTGGACTTGATGATCTGCTCAGGTCCCTTCCGACCCTAGTAACTATGAAACTATGAAAGTTGGATCCCTGCTGATCACATACCATGGTCTGTGTGATTATTTGGTTAGGTGAAAGAGAAATGCTGAACACTGCAACACAAAAGTCCTATTGCTGGGTGCTTGCTGCCGTAGCTGCCACAAGATTGATGGGCATGGAACTGCAGTGAAGAGTTTTGAGAAATAAGGTGTTAAAAAGATGACCTTCACTAATGCATCCTAGTAATTGGTGGATCCATCAGGAATTAACAGAGTTAATGCATCTCAAAGAATAGTTTTCTCTGACTTGAAAATTTGGTTTTGTGAAGCCATCCATTTGGTTTCTCGAGGTGCAACAGTGCAAAAGCAATACAAAATATTAGTAATACAGGTCTTTGCAATAGTGTGTTTCTGTTAAATTATTGCTGAGGCACAGCAAGGTGGGAGGGCTGCCTTTGTGTGTGAATTATCACAAAGTGTGATTAGCTGTGTTTTGCAGCCAATGTATTTTGTGTCTCTGTTTGTAAAAGAACTTGCAGTAATGAAAAAGAATCTAACTAATTTTGTGATTCGTTTAGACGCCGACGAGGCCTGTGCCAAGTTATATTCAGAGACCTGATTATGCTGATCACCCATTAGGTAATTTGAAGCAAATCCCAGCTTAAAATTTTTCTTTTATTGTTGTAAATGCAAAAACCTGTGGAACATAATGGAGTAATGGGAAAAAGAATCTGTATATCAATGTGGGGTTGGGTTTTTTTGGTTTGTTCTTTAAAACAATCCATTGGTGACAGATTCCTTTCAAGAAAAAGGGTTACAAATGTTTCCTAGATAGTTCAGAAATGTGTTGCGTTATCCTACTAAAATGCATTTTGGGTTCTTTCTCTCAAAGTACAGGTCTAATTCTGTGCCTTATTGTATAAAAGTGCATGGATTGATCCTATAATACTGTTTCTATGGCATTTGGATTTTTGCTGCAAATATACTATAAAATGGCTTGTAACCTTCCTTCCTGAAAATGGAAGGGGAAGGGGGTTAAAAAAAATGGACCTGACAGGCTGGTACCAGATCCAGTTAGGTAGAGAAAAGCATTTTTATGCTTAATTGTTTGCTTAATTACTTGCTGTAATCCTCCTTTGTTGTATATTGAGAAACACTGATAAGTTAATGTGGGACAAAAATGTGTTCAGAATTATTTTTAAAATTTTGACAAAACTTATGTTGTTTTTGATCAAATATTAAAATAATACAATGTTGATTTTTGTGGTGGTTATTGTATTTTTAGCTAAAAATATAAAAGTGACCTTCCACAGAATAATAATATGAGTAATGTGTATACATTTGTCAGCCATACGCAATGATACCGCAGTATCAGTTTTATAATCACAAATTTTTAGGGATATTCTGGCTCCTATAGAAAAAAAATCATTCAATTTGTCTGTAGTAAGTTCTTAAAAGACTGCAAACCTATAACCTTAACTTTGACCTCTGCAAGTTTGCTGTATTTTGCCTGTAGGCAGAAAATCCTGTTTTGTAAAAATCCTGATTCTGGAATTAAATAATAATCTTTGAGCATGATTTTTGAGTAATTGCACATGAAACAGTAATAACTCATGATTTTGAGTAACTGCATATGCTGGAAACGGAAGGGAGTTCAATATGTGAGGAATTGTGGAATTGTGCACACACGTGTCAGTCTGTATTTTCTGTGAAAAAGTGTAAACTGTTATGGTTGTAGATATTAAAATTGCCTTGTTTGGAGAGTATGATGTTGTTAGTGCATCAAAAGAAATGTGTGGTACCTTAAAGTAGTGCATGTGTTTAAAAAAAATCACTAAATACTATGCTTAAATTTTTTTCCTTTTTCTTTTAGGAATGTCTGAATCAGAACAGGCTCTTAAAGGAACTTCTCAAATAAAAATCCTATCGTCTGAAGATATAGAAGGCATGAGAGTAGTATGTAGGGTAAGGCTTTTTATTTTTATGTAGAGCATGGGTGCTTTCCTTAAATCTATAGAAAACAAATTATATCACTAGCTTGTGATAATTAATTTTCATGTCTGAACTGTGAAAGGGCAGTTACACTCTGAAAAGTGTTTGCATGTAAATTAGCAGTTTCACTTCTGTTTTTCTCCTGTGATCTCAGATCATGTCTGCTTATTTTGCAAATAGGAGGATATTCTTTTTAATTATCAGTCCTGCAAAGTCAAATTTTCAGTTCGAAATATAATCTAAGATTTGGCTGTATCTTTGTTTTGAAATCACTAGTAATAATTCTGCAGCTGGAATTCAATTAATAATTCTGTTGCTAATGTGTGAGTAAGAAGAGAGAATTCTGTTCTATAGTTACATTGTCTCTGTGGTGCTAACAAGACTAAAAACCAGTAACTCTTTTTTTCAGTCTCCGTAATAAATAGACCTGTTGAATAAGGTCTTTGCAAGTGTGATCACTTTCGTGATCACAACCATGCCTTGAGGTTTAAATGGTACATTTTATCTTGGCACTATTTAGGGCAGGGGTGGGCAGTTATTTGGGCCCCTGGGCCACATAGGGAGTTTTGATCAGTTGTCACAAGCTGAGTCAGTAACTTCTCCCCCCCACAAACTCACCAAAACTCCCTATGGGGTTGTGGGTGGGCAGGAGCAGTGTTCAGGAATGGATTGGGATGGACAGGAGAGGCTGGGATCACATGCCCCTGCCCTCTGGGCTGGGGGGAGCATGTGTGCATGTATGCATGCATGTGTGAAAGAGGGTGCTGCCTGGGTGCTAGCACCTGGGAACCTGCTATGGGTGACGGGAGGGTAGGGGGCACATGCATTAGAGCTCCCTGGGCAGTGTGGTCCACGGTGCCACTGTGGCACTCGCATGGGGCTGAGCCCCACCTGTTCGTGCTGGGGCAGCCCTTGCCGCACTCCTTCCAGTGCCTGCAGCCTGGCCTGGTGCTGCTCTGTCTCCTGCCGCACCCTGCCCAATCTCCAGATCCAGGATCTGGAGCCAGGCCCCTTCATGCCTGTTCAGAGTAGCATGGTGCCATGCAGCAGGAGTGAGAGGAGGAACTGCTGCTGGAGGTGGGGGGTGCAGAGCAGCACATGGCTGTGCCACTGTGTGAACAGCTCGTTGGAAGCTGCTCCTGCCCCAGTATCTGCGGCTCTGGCTTCAGTTTCCAGGAAAGCAGCCAGGAGCTGAAGCCCCGGCACTGTGGCAGGATCCACCTGGCTGAAGCCGCTTGCCTGCCTGGAATGGCATGGTGCAATATGACTCAGTGCAGCAGGGGCAGGACTAGCTTTCAGCAGGCTGTTCCCAGTGCAGCTGCAGCCAGCTGGGTGCCGTTCTGCACCCCCCCTGCCTTCAGCAGCAGCTTCTCCTCTCGCTCCTGCTGCACCACACTGCACCACTCCTGGTAGGTGCATGGGGGTCTGGCTTCAGATCCTGGAACTGGAGGTGTGGGGGGGTGCAGAACTGTACCCAGCTGGGCTGTGGGCACTGGTGGGTGTGTGGTGCGAACGAGTAGAGTTTGGCCCCATGCAGAGTGCTGGGACTCTAGCTCCAGATCTGGTGGCTGGGAGCTGATGCCAGAGACTTGCATGCTGGGGTAGCAGCCACCTGGCTGAAACAGCTCACCTGGTGTGGCACAGCACAGCAGGGGCAAGATCAAAAGCAGGAACTGCTGCTGGAGGTGGGAAGCACAGAGGAGCACTGGGCTGTAGCTGTACCAGAAACAGCTCTGGCAGAAGCTGTGTGCTGGCCGGGGCCAGCGGATGCTGGAGGGAGCCCAGTGCAGGCTGTCCTTATGCAAGTGGGTAGGGCATGGCCCCATGTGGAGTGCCATATTTTGCCCACCCCTGATTTTTTGGGCTTTTTTTTAACATACCCGAGTGAGCTAGGACTACACTTAATTGCCAGAATTCCAAAGACTTAGTGTAGCTCTCCTCTTCAGTGCAACTTCCTAGCAACCTGGTTGTTGCTTCAGAAAACTGACTTTTCATCCCCTAGATATTACTCAGTATTTTACTTGCTCAAGTTGTATACAGTTTTGAATAAGTACTGCTTTCTTCATTTGCAGCTTGCCAGAGAAGTGTTGGATGTTGCTGCTATGATGGTGAAACCAGGTGTAACTACTGAAGAAATAGACCATGCTGTCCATCTAGTAAAGTTACTTTATTGCATTTTTGGATTGGTGCATGCAAACTTTTCCCTTTTATCTAATGTGACTTTGGTATATAATTGCTACAATGCCCACTCTCATTTTCTACATTTCCAACCTGTCTTTGTTTTCCAGCAAATAAACTGCCTTCCCTCTCCACTTTTAAAGCTATGTTTTGATACAGATGTTACCACAGTTGCAAAGCACAGGTGCTGCATTAATAAGGAAGAAAAAAAGCAAAAACAAAACTCCACGTTAGGAGCTCCTGTGGAGTAGAGGGGAATCTCATTCCATTTCATATTTCTTACTTCATTTTTTCCAGTTTCTGACTATCCCTCTTAAGTTTCTCATTCTGATTTGTCCACCAGTAACACACGTTTCTCTTCATTTCTTTGTGACCTTAGTATTGCTATATAAAGGCCTATATGTAGCTCATATTTCTGTGCATGTGATATGCAAGACTGCTGGACCATTTGCAAGCCTCATAGTTAGAGTTTTCAGAAGCTAATATGAGTTCAGGAAGTCTGCAGGGAAGAAACCTTCAGTTATATGGGATCCAGAATCAGACTGTAGAGCCTGAAGGAACACAGAAGGAGCCCTTTTTTGAGTCCTTGGATCTAGGCCACACTGACTAGCATTGTCCCGTGAGAGCCAGTTGCCAGGCACAATGTAGGCAAATGAAAGCTCTATTTCAGGAAAGAACTTGAAGTTGAAACAGATGCTTAAGTGCTTTTGTTTTAAAAAAACCAAACAAAACTTTTTTTGCACAAGGTCCAATTAAAAAAAGTGTTTTATAGCATCAAAGGCTAGCCAAAACATTTCAATTTAAAAACCCCCTTTGAAACTTTTTATTAAAAAAAAAAACATATTTCCTATGCAGTTTTAAAAAATCTATACAGTAGCATTGACAATTGGAAGTGAAAGTGAATAGGAACAAACATGACTAGCTTCATTTATTTTCATTGTCAACTCAGAGAGGAAATGCAAAAGAGAGAGTGAGCAAGCATGACTTAGGGTTAAAAGATGTGGCAAAAAAGGTTTTAAGACTCTCTTGTGCTGTCGCCCCTTTTTATAATGATTTTGCTAATCTAAAGTGTAATGTGTGTGTGTGTTGTGTTTTTTTTTTTTTAAATCTGTTTTAGGCCTGCATTGCAAGGAATTGCTATCCTTCCCCTCTGAATTATTATAATTTCCCTAAGTCATGCTGTACGTCTGTGAATGAAGTGATCTGCCATGGAATTCCTGACAGACGGCCTTTGCAAGAGGGTGATATTGTTAATGGTAGGCAATGTGAAAGACATATTTCAACAACTCTGTTTGTATCTCATCTTTACAGCTAAAACACTCAGCAGAGCAAGGTTTTGATTTTAGTTAAAAATAATTTCTTCACACAGTCTTTTGTTTTTAGTCAGGCATTTAACATTTTTTGTTTACTGAATCTACAAATTCAGTTTCATGGAATTGGTTAGTATCCAAAGCCATTACAATTTGGCAGTTTGTCCATCGTAGTATGTTATTTGCCCTGTGGTGTAGTGGTTAATAAGCCCAGTCATCGCTCAGGACTCCATTGCACAGACAATGTACAAACACAAAGTGAAAAGACAACTGTTTTAACGTTAGCAGAATGATTTAATCCTCTGACTTGTTTTGTGTGCATTTTTGATAAGATGGGTTTTTTGATCATTAAGTTGTTAACACATCAGATATTTCTGGTGCTTGTGTAGCACCATTTTTGTGCAGGCATTTCATAGGCGTATAGACTACCACGTCCTTCTCAAAGACCTTGCAGATTTAATGCAACCCTTTTTTTCTGGCAGTGTTTGAGGATCCACAAGCATTTTGGCTGGACAGAGGTAGCTTTACTTTTAATTTTTTTTTGTATTAGCTCTGGGCATTTCCTCTCGGTTATGACAATGAAAGTAAATGTTTTTGTTCATGCGCTTTTTCAGTTTTGGTTCTCACAAGGGACTAGTGTGCTTTACTTTAAGTGCCTGGACTGTTTTCTGGGCTGAGCCTTAGTTTGTTTCATTTTGTTTGTAAAATAATGGTAGAACATTTTGGGTTGTAAGGTATAACATAGGAACTTAATAATATTTCATGGGTATTTCTTCTGGGGTGCAGGACACATGGTCTTTGGGGGCCTCATGACCTACCCTGGCAATCCCAATGGCCCACCTTAATTCTCTTAAACTATTGTGTTAAATGAAAAGGAGTTGAAAGGAGATCAGCAAATTTTGTGTTCTCGCTGTAAGACTGTTTGCTAATCTGCACGTGCACCTGCATATGTGGTCCAGTTTGACTTGCAGATATGCTGAGGGCTTACATTTAATCAAGGTAGATCCCACTAGGGGCAGTCCTCCGTTGGAAAACGTACCTTGCAGGTGGCTGTCAATAAATGTTGAGCTCTGCATCTCTGCCCAGTTGAATGCTGTCATGATGACAGGGTGCCAGAAGAAGTGATGAGGGGGTTGGGAAACCTGAGTTTAACCAAAAAAGAGCCAGGAGGTGAGAAGACAGTGATAGTTTTGTGACATTTTTGATGTTCTTTGCAGTGGATATTACTGTATATCGCAATGGTTATCATGGGGACCTAAACGAGACTTTTTATGTTGGGGAAGTTGAAGAAGGTGGAAGAAGACTAGTTCAGACAACTTACGAGTGCCTAATGCAAGCCATTGATGCAGGTGAGCACTACTTCTGAATCCCGAAGTTTCATGCTACATTAGTTTTCATATTAGAACTCTTAGGTTTGAACTAATACTACTGACTACAGTTCTGCATCAACTGTAATTCCATGGATGTTGATAGTAAAATACACCCCTGTGGAATGAAGAGTCATTCTTTCATATTTTTTATTTTAGCTTCATGGTTGTTGCAGCATTTATTTCAAATGAGTATTGAAAGGGAAAAAATGATGATAATTGATTCTGAGCAGATTCCTGATCCACACGTAACATTTGTTGGGTGTGGAGTTGCTCACAATCTAGAATGCATACGTGCGCGCACACAGTTTGGGGAAACCAGGTGGGATATCCATTCTGATTTTTAAAATACTGTTAAATCAGATGTTAATACGAAGCATTACTTGAAACATTTGAAATTAAAAAAAAAATCTTTAATCAGGGCTGTTCATCTGGTACCTGCAACAGGTTAATTTTGCAGCCCCCAGACTCCCACCTGGCTACTGCTCTCCCCATTGCTCTGGCTGCAGCAGCAGCCAGCCTTTCCAGGCTCCCCCTCCAACTTTCACTCCCTGCCTCTGTCTCTAGGGAGTGAGGTTGAGAACTGTAGCACAGACTGTGGTGTTGTGGGAGCCTTTGGACTGGGGAGTCTGCAGCCCGTCAGCTGAGGGTGGGGTATGGGCAGCGCAGCCACTTAGAAGTTGGACAGCCCCTGTTCTAAATTATTAGCTCTATGAATTCTCCAATTGTTATTCTGGTCCTGTAAATGGGGTATGAACAAGTGTCTGCCCAGCCAAAGCATGGTGCTGCTGTAGTATACCTGTGCTACATCCTTTCTGTCCTATAGATATATATCTATCTCTGTTAGCTTCAGACTTGTTAGGTAGGTAATGATGGTAGCAAAGATATGAAAGTGCAAGGTTTATCATAGCCTGGCAATCAGAATTTGTATCTAGGGTCCTGGGGGAGGGCCTATGGTGTAGTTGCTAGTCAGTGTGCCCATATCTTCCCCACTTTGTAACCCCTGCTAGATTCCTTAAAGCTATGTCTGTTCATGCTTCCATTGCATCTGCACCTTTCCATATGAATATACCGTATATAAGATCCTAGATGACTTTTTATAAGCAGAGGTTTAGCTGGATAGTGTTAATTAAATCTTGTTCCTGGAGAAATATATTGTTAGTCTTTATTTTAAAACAAGCAAACAAAAAAACCTTTGAAAACGTTCATATTTGCCATGGGATTTTGCTATACAGTTCTTGGTATAGTGAAACTTTATCCAGTGAATTGACTGGAAAGAGTCCTGTTCATTTCACTGGGATATGGATCAGGACCCCTATGAATTGAAGTACTATATGTACCTGATTCCAAGATGAGGTTTGCCCCAACGTGTAACATTGGGAGGGAAGCCCCTTGTCTTGGAATTGAGTACAAGGAAGCAGCGGGACAGACTCTGGCTCTGGCCCTGGGTTGGGGCAAGAGCTGCAGCTGCTGCTTGCCCCCCTACCTCGGCCACCTCTGTACCCCCTGTCTCTCCCCCTTACAGCCTTAGGTCCCTGCTCCCCTCAGTCCTGTCAGGCTCCATCTATGCTGCAGCTTGGAGCATGAAGCAAGGCCCCATCCTGACCCTGGAGCAGCAGTGCTGGCTCCATGCCGTTGCTTTGGGGCTCTGCTGTATGCCTCAGGCTTCAGTGGGGATGGTGCTA